ACAACATCAAACATGCATCAAAGTGCTAGGAATTTCGGGATGCTACAGAAAAGGCCTTAATGTTTCTCTCTTGAAGGAATCCCAAAGCTACAGGGTCAGCCAGGTTGTCGAGTGCTGCGAATCGGCAAGAGCTATCTGTGGCAAACCTCCAGCTACACTCCTCCAAGGTCTCTATACTCCTCCTCCCGTAATCCGTCCGAGAGAAACACCGTGGGCTGGACACTGGAAAGCTAGGGGGGTTTAAAGTGGACCAGTCTATGGTCGGTGCCGCAGAACTCGGCACTCCGGTAAATCCTAGAGGCCTGGAGGATCCTCCAGCGAGTGCTAACAAGGAATATGGTTGATTTTCTTGGCCACGTACCCGTATCACTGTAGCGTGTTCCATGATGCATGTTGGAGCGCTGATTCCAGGAGCCAGAGAACCTTCATCCTTGGGACCTAACAAAGTCCTGGAAAAGGAGGCTATTCTCCCTGCTGGAATCAGCTCCCGAGCAATGGGGACCGACAAACATATCGCAGCTAGTTCATTCACAAGCAGATACCGTATTGATGTCTCCCAGGACAATGCGGATGTCTTGTAGGGGACAATTGTTTGTCACAGATGCGAATTTGGCGAAGAATACCTTTTCACTTTGAATTTCCAAATATCGGTAGGAGTGTACACCACCCGGCCTGAGGTTAAACCTTGACCGGTGAATCACTGCTGCCACCCTCGCCGACGTTGCCTATATAAAGAGGTCTGTAAGCTGTAGGATCAGTGGTCCACCTGTGGGGATCCCGTGGACCTTGCCCGAAAGCTTTATACAAGGAAGCACTTTAAAATTCTTGATGTTGGAGAAGCTGTGAACTGACAGGGGAGGCTTATGCTAAGCTGCTCCTTTTTTCACATCAGACTAGCCAGTGGTGGCAGCTGCACGTGAGAGAGCATGTGCAAATAGTTAACACAATCTAGTCTACTACACTATTGCTTCATATCACCCTAATCATGAGACACCCATCCAGCTATGGATCCAAAAATATAATGAAACCCTGAAAGTGAGCAAGAACTGAGCTGTGAACACTGAAAAGAAACCGAGTCAAATAATGTAATAATGAAATACCACATGAAACTAAAACTATTCCTTAAACCACTGGAAGAAAGCAATAATTGTACAATGAACCCACAAAGGAAAGCAAGAGTGGGGATGATAAGAAATGTACAACGAAACAATGGAGAAAGAAAGATCACAGAATGCAGCATCAAAAGAAAAAATGATAGTGGAAGGAAAATTGCGTAATGGCCAGACAATCAAATGGAAACAAGGATCATAAAACAAATCACTACCATATAGACCTATGCAAAGGTCACTAAAAGAAATCAAAATTTCAGAGGGAGAGAAAGAGAGAGAGAGAGAAAGTGGTTTCACCAACAAGCGAAATACATATTTGTATATACTTGTGTATTCTTATACATGTTTACATACATAGATGTGCATACAATAAACCACCAAAGGAAAACAAGGATCATAATAGATATATATGCTAATATGATGTCTGTATGTATATCTGCATGTGTATGTGTTGTAAAAATGTGTAAAAGGTTTAACTCTGTCATACAGACTGCATATGCTTCAGATGAAAAATGTCACATTGATTTAACTTAACAAAAAAAAAAAAAAAAAAAAAAAATCAATAAATCAGTGAAATATAACCATTTAAAATGGTGCTGAAAGTCTTAAAATACCCCTTAGGAAACATAACATACACGGTTATCCAATTGGATAAATTTTTCCTTTTCATAACACCAAGTAACTTTTTTGTGGAAATAGTCTTCCTTAAGATGTGTGAGAATTGTTTTCCCTAGAAGTGAGAACAGAAGACCAATGGTCGCCGTTTTTTTAATAAAGTTCCTTCATTAGAGTTGGCTACATTAAGATGTTCTTGCCCTGAATGTGGCTGTACAAACTGTTGTTGATTAACTGAGTCATAGCTTCATTATTTATCATTATTACTGTTGGAGTTGGGAGGTGAAATTACCCTTTTCCATATAGATTATGAATTTAAGCATAAGAGAGTATGACTCCTTTCACTTAAAAATGAATGAGTAGGATGGCAAACTCACTGCTCGTGTCCAGATTGCATGTTATGCCAACAGTATGGAGTTCCTAAATTTTAGCCATTTACACAATCTTTTATTTTTCATTTCTGCTGTGTATTTGACTTCTTTATTATAAAAATATCATATATATAGGATAGATATCTGATAATGCAAATACATTTTCTTTGTAATGATATATCTGACTTTGTAATTATAACCAATCATAATTATGATCACACAGTAATAGTGATCTATTATGATTACTGAATTATGCCTGCCTAAGAGGTTGATTACAATTAAGATTACACAAAATGTGTAATAACTACAATTACAGATTATGAATATCTAATTTCTGGAGGCAAGCTTCCAGATCAGCTTGGATTTTGGTCTAATCTTTTGAAAAGCTTCTTTTTTGTAGAGTGTTTTATCCTGACACTATCAACAGAGTAATGACCCTTATTTAAAAGCCGATTTTTCTGCAAAGAATGAATAGTTCAAGGACAGTAGGTTGAAATAAAGAAAAAAATAAATATATAACAAATAATTTCTTAGTTAACTTTCAATATGAATTTTCAATAACAGGAATATTTTAAGAAAATTACTACTTTGCCTAATTTCTTGTTTTATTCACTTTGAAAAATTATACAATTATTAAATAGTTCAGTACTATTTATAACAAACCTTTTTTGGTTACATACAGGTTCA